AAAAAAAAAAAAAAAAAAAGACTCAGGTTGTCTTAGGCAGAGGTGACTCAGGGCCATCTTGGTGGCCCTTGTGAGATGTACACAGCTTCACACCCGGAATCTTAGCACAGAGCCCATGACCCCTGCCTGGTCCACAAATATGGAGGAACAGCTCCCACACTTATTTATTATTTCTGAGGCACGGATTTACTATGCAGTCAGGCTGGCCTTGAACTCACGGCAATCCTCCTGCCTCAGCCTCCTGAGTGCTGGGATTGAGCTCTTGATTTTAGATTCCGCTTCGAGGCGGGGCATACAGCCTAGGGGCATTGTGTCAGCTTAGCACGCCTGAGGCCCTGGGTTCAGCCCTCAGCACCACAGTGAGAAAGAGGAAAAATCAGCTTCTGATCAACGTCAGCCCATAAGATAGACTTCAATGTAGATGTAAGAGGCCAATTTCCTGCTTAAATGCAGGACAGAAATCAAGACTTTGAAAAGTCAAATAAAAGGGCCGTGGATATAGCTCAGTGGTGTAGCACCTGCCTGGCAAGGGTGAGGTCCTGAGTTCAATTCTCAGTACTAAAAAAAAAGTAAAGTCAAATAAGAAGAGGACCTTATGTGACGCTGTCCTTCCCATGCACTGAGGGCTGGCTCTCGTCAGTGCAGGGAGGGGACAGTGAAGCCAGCTTGGTGACCACAGGGCCAGGGCCACCTCCTGACCACCTCCCACCCTCAGCGCCAATTTAAAGATGCGAATCCTGACCTTACCAGATTCCTTCTGGTTTTATTCTGGCTACAAATCACCTAACCGGGGCAGAAACTACAATTTCCATTAACTTCAAACCACTGGGTCTTCAAGATGCCAAGGATTAAAAAAGAAAACAGAAACGAAGAAAAAGCTCCTTCGACAAAGGCATGTGCACGGCCGCACACGGAAGCCTCGCTAGCCTGGGTCCCCTTTGTGCCCCCCCGCCCCGCCCCAGCTCTGGATGAGCGTGGCACGCCTGGGACAGCGAGCTCCTCTCCCTCCAGCGCTGGGTTGGGCAGGGCCGCATCAGCACCAACCGCTCATTGTCAGCTGCTCAGTTTCCTGAGACTGGGTCTCGCGCACCCAGGCTGCTCCTCCAGTGTGCAGTCCTCCTGCCTCAGCCTCCTGAGCAGCTGGGACCAGAGGTGGCACTGGGCGCCCGATTCCAACGGACTACTTGACCACACTTTCCCAGACTCCCTCAGGCTGTTGGGGACCACAGGGACACAGGAGGGTGATGCCACACGGCCCTCACAGCGGGTAGCACACTGCGGTGAAACCCTGCACCCACAGAGGAAGCGCCCTCCTCCTTCCTTCCTCGGCGTGGGGGAGGCTGCTGTGGCTGTCTGTGACTTCCGCCCTGCCACGGCCCAAGAGCTCAGCACACTAGCACGCTCCAATTCGTGAGGGGACGGAGGGGGCGGGGGGCGGCGGCAGGATGCTGCAGCCCCGGGCCAGGAGGGCATTTCTCCGAGAAACCTCGTCAGAAGCCGAAGGCAGCTGAGTGTTAGCGACAGGCGCTGCTGTGTGCCGGGCTGCGGGTGCCACCACCGTCCGCGCAGCGGGCGGCTCGCTGTGTGCGTGCTCTGCTGGCCACCTGACGGCCACCCGGCTGCGTCCTCCGCGCCTGTTGAGGAACTGCCTGAACAGCCACGGGCACGGGGAGGCAGCGCCAGCGCTCTGGGGAATGTGTTGTAAGCAATATTAAATGTAAGTCTTGGCACCTTTGGCGTTTTTGTCCAAATAGACCTCGACGTACGAGGTGGGCACGTAGCCCTCCTCGTCCTCCCTCCTCCGGATGCGCGTCCACCCGTCCCCTTTGTCCTCCTCGATGACGTACAGCGTTTCCCCTTCAGCCACCGAGATGGTTCCTTCGTTCTGACCTGCAGGAGCGACAGCAGACTATTTGAGACTCTCACGGATAGCTGGATGTGGTGGCACACACCCGTCATCCCGGCACTCAGGAGGCTGAGGCAGGAGGCCTGCTGGGCTACACAGTGAGGCCCTGGCCCAAAATAAAAAATCAACTGGAGATGTAGCTCAGTGTGGAAGCCCCGGGGCCAATTCCCAGTACTGCAAAAACAAAACGAAAGCCCCAGTGGGTGAAGGTCACCCCTCCAGGGGCTCCCAGCCCTGCGCCAGCCCTCTCAGGAGCACCTGCCAGGCCTGGCCTCTGGGTCCTGGGTCAGAACCCGCCTGGTATTTCTGGCTATTCCTGCTTCCTAACACATCCTCTGGAGCTGAGGGCAAATCCGCCTCTGACCTCGGCACCACCTGAGACCGGGCCACAGCTGCCGGGGTAGCTGCGCGGGCAGGCGTGCACCACGGAGGTGGCGTGAATACAGGCCAATCCAGCTCCTCCCCAACCTGCACCTCCCACCTCCTGTCACAGACCCAGGCCACCTGAGGCCCACACCCAGGCTGCACACCTTCAAATGTGTAGAGGGCCTTGCAGGTCCCAATGGCTGGCAGCGGCTCCTCGTCCTCAAACTCATCGTCGAAGTCTGTGGCCAGCACCTTGACTTCGTTCTCCTGGCTCTGCTCCTCCGTGTAGCTGCCATCCGGGCTGCTCAAGACAGGAAGACACACGGCCACTATAGCGCCCACCGCCAGCCACCTCCCCTTCCTCTTCCTGGCTCCTGTTGTCTTTTTTTTGTTTTTGAGACAGGGTCTTGCTATGCACCTCAGGCTGGCCTTGAGCTCACTTTGTAGTCTGGGCTAGTCTCGAACTTGCCACGATCCTCCTGCCTCAGCCTTCTGAGCGCCACAGCCACACCTGGTTCCTGTTGCCTTTTATTCTGCCTTCATTTGCTTATACTTTAGGTTTTGCACAAAACAGCAACCTTGCCTTGTGTCTTATTTATTTCACTTAACATCCTGGGCCTGAGGTGCGGCCGCTTCCTCCGGGCAGGCGGCTCGGGGTTGCATTTCTTTATGGAAAGCGGTGCTTCGCTGATAGACACGCAGGCTGCCGACAACGTTCAGCTGTTCCGAGCTGTGCGGCTACAAGCGCGGGTGTGTACACGCTGCCTGAGAGGGCCCTTTGACTCTCGGAAGGTTCCCGAAAGGGGATGCCTGGGTGAGGCGGGGGCTCGGTCTTGGGAGCTGGAGGAACCTCCATGCGCACCCAATTCCTCCCAGAGGGCCACAATTCCATGACCTGGCCTTGACCTCGGGGGACGGGGACAGGATGGGGGCCAGGACACCCAGTGGACAGGGCGACGCCCGGGCAGAAACTGTACCTCTCGCGGTCCTGGGCGCAGTTGTGTGTGGCCGGCGGCTGCTGGCCTTCGAACATCCCGCTCTGCCTGCGCACCTGGTCGCCTCGCCCAGGGAGGCGGCCCTCCACCTCCGCCAGCCAGGTCTGCGGACAGAAGCGAGACTCTCACCCAGTGCCCTGGGGTTGCACGCCTGTCCTGAGATCCCACCTCCGGAGCACTCGGTGGTCACTCACAATGAGGCGAGGGGACCCAAGGCCACCACATTCTCTCCCTGTGCCAGACAGTGACAGAGCCCGGTTCATTCCACACCCATGATGAGACGGAGGCCTGTGCGGTGCCGTACCTGGGCTGCAGGCTGTGAACTGGCCTCAGGTGAGTCACTTCCAGTCCCTAAACTCTATGACCAGGAAGTCACCTGGAGAAACCCAAAAGCCCTGTGCCTGTCCCCCTGGTGGTGCTCAGGGTGAAGAGCTTAAGCACTAAGCTCCACCCGCAGCCACCTTTGCTCACTGTCAAATTTTGAGACCAGGTCTGAGTCCCTAAGTTGCCAAGGCTGGGCTTGAATTTGTGATCTTCCTGCCTCAGCCTCAGAGTGCTGGGATGACAGGTGTGCAGGTGCTCCCCACGCTGCTGTCCCCAGGGAAGGAGCCACACAACCAGCCCCAGCGAACCCTGGGAATGACACCCAGCCCCCACCTCAAATTTCTGAGCCTCAAGCCGCAGCCTCTCGGCATTCTGGGTGACCTCCGCAAGCTTGTGGTCCAGGCTGGCCGGGTCTCCCATCTGCGGGTTCTTCAGGTAGACGTCTTTCATCTTGGTTATGGCGTCTCTGAACACAAATGAGAACACAGGAGTGGCTGTCACAGCACCAGGGATTCTGTCACTCTGATGGTGACAAGACCGGAAGCGGGAAGAGAACATGAGAGAACACCCAGTGTGGATCCAGAGGGGTGACAGGTGGTTGCTTCCCGACTCCTTGGTGGAACTGTGTCCCAAGGTCTCTAGCATCCTAGGCTTGTGTTTACATTTGGCTGCCTTTCTTTTTTTTATTTTTTGGTGGAACCGGGGATTGAACTCAGATCCTTGTGTTTGGCAGTCAAGCGCTTATCCTACTGAGCCATCTCCCCGGCCCCATGCCTTTCTTTTTTAAAACATGTTTATACTTATTTAGACTTTTCTGAAACAGGGTCTGACTATGGCTGGCCTTGGACTTAACAGTGACCCTCGTGCCTCAGTCCCCCAAGCGCTGGGATGATAGGCACCTGCCATCCGCCTAGCCCAGCAGGAAGATCTGAAGTTAGGAGGTGGGCAGGGGTGAGGGTGGGAGTTGTGCCCGCTGCCCTCATTTAGCTGGGTATGGGCATCCTAGCACTTGGGAGGCTGAGGCAGGAGGATCCCTGAGACTTCACGGCCAGCCTGGGCTACACAGTTAAGGCCGGCCTGAACTGCACAGCAAGATCCTATGTCAAAAACCAAAACCAAAATCAAGTAAGTCTCACTCATTTGTGCAAAATAACTATTCATTCATACCGAGAGAGCTCGGGACAGAGGCTCAAAGTGGAGCACTTGTATAGAGCGTGTGCGAGAGTGTGTTCCTGTAAGCGTGAGTGTGTGTGGCCCCAGGCTCCACCCGCCCTACCGAGAGTGAGCGGAGGCGCGCTGCGTGGACTTCAGCTAAAGTCTGAACAAAGCCTCCCGGCCCCAGCAGCTGGGAGCCGGCTGCGAGTTTTCCAGCTCCCCAGGCCTGCCGGGGCCTCCCAAGCGCACGCCGGTTCCTACCTCTGATCCATCTCCTTCTGGATCTCCTTGTTCAGCTCATCCACCTTCTGCTGCAGCTTCTTCCTCCTCTGCTCGGGCGGGAGGTTGCTGAAGTCCTCAGGCGCGGCCCCCTGAGGACACAGAGAGGTGTGAGCACAGCTGGCAGGGAGGATGGATCAACACAGGTGAGCCCAGCACCCCAGCACGGCCAACGCCTCCTGCCTGGTAAGGAGGGCGTGGGGCACCTCGCCCCAGACGGGGTCCACCCACTGTCTCCCTAATGAGAGGAGATGCGTCCTCTCCCAACTACTCTGCACCCCATCTGCTGCTTTCTCTTCTTTTTTGTCTAGCTTTTGTGAGACAGGGTCTTGCTATGTAGCCCAGGCTGGCCTGGAACTCAGCGATGATCCTCCTGACTCAGCCTCATAAGAGCAGGGATCACAGGCGCGGGCCACTACCCCTGGCTGACCCTGCTGCTTTCATTCCTAGTCTGAGTGTTCCTCTCGGTTTCTTCACAAAAAGCTGGAACAGAAATTTCCATCCCAGCTCAGTGCCAGATAGGCATAGCATTTCTCTGGGACTGCGGGCAAAGAGGACATTAAAAAAAAAATTAAAAAAACATAATCACCTCTTCCCTTCTTAGAGCAGCCCCACAGAGTGCCCAGCTTGGCCTCACAGGCAGCTCCTCAGAGCAGAGGACAGTGACCTTGCCGTTTTGAACTTGCCACAAAATGTGTATTATTGGCTGGGTGTGGCTGCGCACGCCTGTTATCCCAGCACTCCAGAGGCTTGAGGCAGAAGGATCAGGACGAGTTCGAGACCAGCCTGGGCTACCCAATGAGCTCAAGGCCAGCTTGAGCCGCGCAGTGAGCCCCTACCTCCAAAAGGCAAAAAGAAAAAGAAAAAAAGCTACCAAACAACAATGAAAACCAATCGCAGCCTCCTCTGCGGCGGGCTCCAGGGCGGCTCCGTGCGCAGGGTCAGGTGTCTGCAGGAGCCTCCAGGGGCACCCGGCTGTGAAGGGAGCCCTGGCCAGACTGCGCTCCGCTCCTTGGTGAGTGAAACCCATTCACGCAGCCAGGCCAAGCCAGGGAATTCAGAAAAGAGATTTTCTTTGAAAACCTCCATTCTTTTAAAACAAGAGCTTGACTGGCTCGGAGTGGGTGGCAGGCAGGCCGGACAATGGGATTCCGGAAGGGGCTGCCGCGGCCAAGCAGCTTACGGGGGCTTGTGACGGCTGGGCCGGAATGCGAGAGCCAGCAGCAGGCTGTCGGAAGGGCCACCCGAGCTCGTGGAGGGGCTCCTGCTGGCGGGGCGCAGGAGGGGCCGGCGGTGGCCGCGCGTGCGTGGGTGTGCGTGTGCATGTTGAATATAAAGGCGTGACTCGCTCTTCAGCTCCACACACACAGTGTCTGGAATATTGGGGACTTAAATGACTTAAATGCAGATCAGCATGTTCTCCAGAACTGGGGTTTTTGGTTTTTCAAAATCTGGACCGTGCTGGGTGTGCTGACGCACACCTGTGGTCCCCGCACTTGGGAGGCTGAGGCAAGAGGATCGCCATTGATTTTTTTTCCTTTTGCATTTTAGGGAAGGGTCTACAGGTGTTCAGGGCCTCACTACTAGATCGGACTCGTAGTGATTCTCCTGTTTACAGCCTCCTAAGTGCTGGAATTACAGGCATGGCTACCATACCCAGTCTCAATCGCGGCCTCCTGGGGGCAGGGCTGGCACGAGGGATCGAACATCCCCCCTCCTTGCAGGTGCTTTAATCCACTGAGCTATTTGGCCAGCCCTCGCCATTGATTTTGA